GGTCGCCCTGGTTTCGGAAGCATTAAAAGCGAGAAATCGGCCTCAAAATGTTCGAGACCTCCAAATCTTGATCATTGTTGGAAACTGTAAATCTAAAATTTTTCTAGCCTTAAATCAAAATTTCTCATCACAATTTACTTAGAAATGTGTTTTAAAATAGACATAAAAGGTAATTAGCCAGTACATTTTTCTTAAATGATAGTTTTTTTTAACTCATTATTATGACGAGCTCCTCCTTTCACCCCGATGCCTCGCAAATGTTTATGTTCACTTAACGGTCAAAAGAATATGTCCGTTATATTCATTTAATGATTTTTTTTACATTTGCATTTTGGGACATTGACCTTTAAACGTATTTTTCATATCTCTAAGATTGGATATTGATCGAACGGTCTTTGGGAGTTCATCAGTCATTATCAAGGGATAAAAAATATTCATGAAACTTTAAATATAATATGTATTAATATCTGTTGTGGGTGTATGTGTGTGGGGGTGGCTGGGGGGTGCTTACGAAGCAATTAAGACAGCAGTTTATCTATCTATCTATCTATCTATCTTTCTATCTATCGATCTATCTATCGATCTATCTATCGATCTATCTATCTATCTATCTATCTATCTATCTATCTATCTATCTATCTATCTGTCTGTCTAACTGTCTGTTTCGGTCTGTCCGTCTATCTGTCATATATCTATCTATCTATCTATGGGCATAATATGTATTTCTGTGTTAGTGTGTGTGTGTGTGTGTGAAAATGTGTATGCATGTATTTGTATTCTCATTCTCTTGCATATTCCAGTTGTTCTTACTGTGAGTTGTTTCTTAATTAACTTACTGTGACGTTCATTTGTACCTTTTCTCGCTGGTCTTCACACATGTCAGCACACCCCGACCTAGTTCTCAAAACGCCTTTATTGTGTCATGTCGTGGTTGGATCAGGCGCTCGTCAGTTTTGGACATAAAGAGTTATTGTTGTCATCTTACTTAAAGCTTGTTTATTTGTCTTGCTTTCAATTTTAAAATTAATCCATCTGTCTTCAACAATAGAAGTCGAGATATGTTGAATTGAAGGAGGTGGAGATCATCTGGTTTCAGAAGAAAAATGAGAGAGAAAATGGCTTCCAAAGTTTGGTGACTTCCAAAGCTTGATCAGAGGCCTTGGAAACTGTAAATTTACAACTGTTGTGCCTTCAATCAACTCTTTTCAGTAAAAACCCACACAGCAAAATGTGTTTTTAAATAGACATAAAAGGTATTGACTGATACCAAAACTAAAAATGAAAATTCAAACAAAATTGCAAAATGAGAAGAAAAATGCTGTTTTCTTCGATTTTATTACATTGACGAGCCCCTGATTTCACCACACTGCCTCGCTTTTTCTTTCTGTTCAACATCTAACACTCCCAGTGGTTATAACACCCTGTTATACCTGTACCTCTTAATATCAATCAGGTTTTATAAAATCTAGACGTTTTATTATTGCCTTTAATTTCAGCTTTTTTTTTTAATCTTTAAAATAATGTTATGTTAACATGGTTTTTAAACTTCAATATATTTCCAAACTTAGCGCCTTCAATCTGAATCACTACGGACATTGTTGGAATCACTAAGATTTTGCTGAAGTACCGGAATATTGGCAAACAGAATTTGAGCGTAATTCCTTTAAAAATTTAGGTTTTGAGGTGCATTCTTGTGGAAACGGAGAAAGTATCTGCTTCCGCTCTTTATTCAGCTCATTCGAGGATTAGTTTACACCATTACCTACAGAGGTTTTTTTCGTTGTTGGAGCATTCGGACCACTCTGTGATAATATAGCATATCGGTGTGTTTCATCTTTTACCCCATACGGGATCTGGAAAATAATCCACAATTATAAACAATGTTCTTTAGCCCCAATTGTCCAGACAACAATGATTATTCGTGACATTTAACTCTATCTAACCTGTGAACTGTGAGCTTAACCCCCCTGTGACCTTCACCCTTGACCTGGGCGTCGTTATGGTGATAGAGCGCGAGCGTGCAACAATGGCGAAAACCCTGGGTTCCTGCATCGTTTACAATAACTCTCCTTATTCTTCCCCCTCTAGGGGTCTGGACTACGGAACTGCGGACAAGCGAGCCTCGGCCATGCCATCTCAGGGCTCTCTCTTCACCAACTTTGAGGATGTTCAGGTGAGTGTGTGTGCGTGTGTGTGTGTTTAGGCGTGTGTGTGTGTGTGTTTGTGTGTGTGTGTGTGTGTGTGTGTGTTTGTGTGTGTGTGTCTAAACAAGCACTCCTCGACCATGCAATCACAGGGCTCTCTCTTCACCAACTTTGAGGATGTTCGGGTGAGTGCAGAAACACGACAGTACGTGTGTTTCGAGGAGGGGGGGGGTATATGTACGTGTGTGTGTATGTGTGTGTGTGTGTGTGTTTGTGGGTGTGTGTGTG